TATTTGTATCCTATATAGAGTTTGTCTTTTACTTTCATGACTAAGAAAAATATAGTAAAAGGAAAAGAAACTCTTTGTGCTTAAGTTCCTGTATCATGTTTTCTCCTTAATGTTCATTTTTTTGAAGTTCTGTCACTGCAGGAGTGATGAGTCAGAGCCAGGGGAATTGTTGTGACCTGCTCCACCTATTAGAACAAGCCAAACAATTTGAGGGTTGGTGCTAGTTTGTCAGGGGCTTATTTATCCTGGGGGAGAGTGGACTGCAATTTGCATGACCACATAGTACAGATTTTTATTCATGAAGCTGACCTTAAGTAAGGCAAGCAGTTTCTTGGTCTAACTATGCTATAATTCAGCCATGTGTCTACCCAGTGGGCAAGCTCAGTTCTAGAAGAAATTAAGCCTGGAATGACAAGATGTATGAGGAACCAGGGCTGAAATAAATGGACAGGACTGAATGAAAGATTTAGAAGAAGATGAAAGAGTGTGTACTCAGTGGAAGGATGGAAAGGCTAGGCAGAATTACTGAGGGAGGGGACATTGTTGCTCTTCGGAATCTGAGTTTTTTTTCTCATTTTCTCACTATAAGAATACATCTGGAGGCTGGGAAGGTGGCTCAGTGGTAGAGCGCTTGCCTTGCATGTTCGATTCCCCAGCACCAAATAAGCAAAAAGAAAAAAAGCCAGAAGTGGCACTGTGGCTCAGGTGGTAGAGCACTAGCCTTGAGCTGAAGAGCTGAGGGACAGCGCCCAGGCCCAGAGTTCAGGCCCCACGACTGGACCTAAAAAAAAAAAAAAAAAAAAAGAATAGCATCTGTGCCAAGCGCCGGTGGCTCACGCCTGTAATCCTAGCTACTCAGAAGGCTGAGATCTGAGGATCACAGTTCAAAGCCAGCCCAGGCAGGAAAGTCTGTGAGACTCTTATCTCCAATAAACCACTAGAAAACTGGAAGTGGCACTGTGATAGAGCATTTGCCTTGAGCTGAAGAGCGCAGGGACAGCGCCCAAGCCCAGAGTCCAAGCCCCACGACCGATGCCCCCTCTCCCCCAAAAAATAGCATCTGCAATTTAATATAAAACTTGGAGATGCAGTCACACTTACAGACTAACAGCTCAGGGTGAGCCTTCCACAATACTGCTACATAGAGGATGCTAGAACTTTCCAGCCTATTTCTTCCTTCTATGGCGTACTTCCATTTAGGTCTGCTTTCTACTACATTTAGTGGTTGTTGAAGTGTGGTCTTTGGTCCAGCAACATACACATCATCTGAGTGCTAGGTAGAAATGCTCGTTCTCAGGCCCCAACTTAGAATAACTGATTCAGAAAGTCTAGAGAGGGACTGGGAACAGTAAATCCATTTTCTCAAGCTATCTATGTAATTTTTATGCAAATTAAAGTATGAAAAGCACTACTTTAGATGGAATTACTAGATACCTTCAAGATGAGAGAGTATGTTTTAGGAGAGAACTTCTCAAAAAGACAAGGCACTCAGTTGTCAAATGAATAATTTTGTGGAATTTCAACTCATGTAAAAAAAGATAGTCAAGGCTGCTGCATTTGCTTAGGCCTTCATCATCTCTTGCCTTTCACCTCATCGACTTCAGTCTTCTCTCAACATTGCTACTAGAGATATACGCTCAGCCTGAAACTCTGACCTGTCAAACTCAATTTAAACTCATCCGTGGCTATGCCCTGCTCAAGGATAAAGTTCCAAGCCTTGGCATAGAACCGGTCCTCCATTATCTGCCTCTGGCCATTTCCCTGACCTGATTTCCTTCTGTACCTTCCTATCTATTCACTATCTGCAGGAAGCTTACACTTACTTCCTTAGACCTCTGACATCAAGCCTGGCCACGTGATTGACCTTAATCAACACTTTAAAAAAAAAGGTGAAGGAAGAGTTGTCACCTCTGAGCAGACTTTGTCATAGTTTTGTTCTTTCCCTTTGCCATAAATGACACTGTCCCAGAGAGAGACTATATTCTTTAAGCTTAGTGGGACCTAAATACAGACAGATGAGATGCTAAGTTACAAAAGACCTACCAGGACATGTAGCCTCAGTGGGGAGGGGGAAAAAAATCCATGTTGCTGTCAACCCCTGAGATTAGGAGTTATTTGTTATTTAGCCTAGACTAACAACGATAATACTTCTCATCATTCCTCTTGGCATGGAATGTCTTCTCTCTCTGCTTACCCTTCCTTCCAATCCTACCCCACCCAGGCTGCCTAATGAACTTATTCATCCTCCACTTAGCTCCAGGGTTACCCTCAATCAAGCCTTTATCCTTCCCAGGACTGAATGATCACTCACTTTTAGGGCCTCCTCTACATGCTACTGATCTAGAACTATACCCTCCAAACAGTGCTAGGGCCTTCCTGTTTATTAACACTATTGTTAGAGTACTGTTTCCTTACTATTGTAATAAAATAGTAATAACAGCATGTATCTACAGCTTACAGAAGAGTTTTGGTTCAGAGAAGCAAAGCAGCTTGTACAAGTTTGCTAAGTTCTTACTAGGTAGGAGCCGGGCCCTGAACTCGGCCATCTGCCCCAGGCACACCCCTCTGTCCGCCCTTCAGACCCTCCCCTCCGTCAGCAACTCAAAGGACCACCACACAAATTTGACACTTTCAAGATTTGTAACTGGGAGGGTTCTTCTGATTCTCTGGGAAGATCGTCACTTTCTCTAAATGGGTCTATTTATTCTAAAGCACCTAAAAAACTCTAGGAGAACTAGGGCAGTGTGCCTGTTCTGTCCCCAGGTCCCAGGCTGCAGAAGTAAAGCAGCATGATACAGCAAGCACACTATTCCCGCTGATATTGCCCTGGGAAACCTTATTTACAGAGTGGGAAGCAAGGAGCAGAGGGTTCAGAAATAGAATCGAGTCTGCTACATGTTGAAATTTTAGGTGTTGTTTTTCTTTCAAAGTAATTGGGAGTCACACACGGATGGCTGACACGTGTAATCCTAGCTACTCAGCAGGCTGAGATCTGAAGATCATAGTTCAAAGCCAGCCCAGGAACGAAACTCTGTGACACTCTTTTAACTCCAATTAATTACCAGAAAACTAGAAATGGTGCTCTGGCTCAAAGTGGTAGAGTGCTAGCCTTGAACAAAAGAGCTCAGGGACAGCTCCTAGGCCCTAAGTTCAAGCCCCAAAACCAAACAACAACAATAACAAAAATTAATTGGGGCCAAGTGTTTATTTGATTCTTCAGATTAAACAAGGAAAGACAAATGATACCACAGCAAAAGATTTAACTGGACTGCACAAGTCAGACATGGGGTTAACTGGCTGAGAGTAGCAAACACAGTTTTAGGTTTCTATGAGCTGCTGGTATTTTGTTCTGTGGTTGAAGAGTTTGTTTTTTTCCCTCCCTCCCCCCTCCTTTACCTCTTCCTTTTTAACTTTAAAGAGTAGAAAGTATGCAAACCTAAAAATATACCCTGACTCAGTCTTACTAAACAAAAAATTAGTATTCAGTAAAGTACCACAATATTTTCTTTTTTTTTTTTTTTTTTCTTTTGTGGGGCCTGAACTTGGGCCTGGGCGCTGTCCCTCAGCTCTTCAGCTCAAGGCTAGCGTTCTACCACACGAACCACAGCGCCACGTCCAGCTTTATCTGCTTATATGGTGCTGAGGAATCTAATCCAGGGCCTCATGCATGCAAGGCAAGCACTCTACCACTGAGTCACCTTCCCAGCCCCACAATATTCTTTTCATATAAGGATTACAAAGCTTTGGTTAGGAGTTACAAAGCTTTGGTTAGGAGTTGGAATCCATGTATGTATCATTCTTCCAATGGAGAGGTCCCCGCCCCCCTTCCCTAAAGGATATAATATTACCTTTAAACGATACCATCAGTAACATTAATCGCATTTTCCCTCTTCAAGTTCAGAAAGCTGTTCAGAGCTCCAAATGGCTGTTGGACCAGTTTGGACACGTCTGATTTACTCTCTAAATGAACATCCGCTTCACACAATAAATAATAAGAGCCAGCCTTTATAGAGACTACTTCAGGCTAGCTGTGCTGGATGTTTGGGGGGGACAGGGGTTCACATAATCCTCAAAACAACACGTGCAAGTTATCGCCACTTCGCAGATGAAGAGAGGGAGACCCAGGGAGCGTGAAGGAGATGAAGGAAAGAGTGAGAGAGAAGGGGGGGGAGAGAGAGAAGGAGAAGGGAGAGAGGGTGGAGGAAAGCGGGCAGGGGCCAGTAGCTGCGCAGACCATAGTTAATCATTCACACACAGCCCTCCGGGCAGCTCTTTTCAGTAGGGGCGGAACACGAACACACGAACACACACACACACGCACACACACGAATCGTCAACTCCTCATCCCAGCGACACACACACACACACACACACACGCACACACACGAATCGTCTTCAACTCTTCATCCCAGCGAGAGGCGGTGTCCAGCAAATTGCTTGGCAACGGGCGCAGGAAACTCCATCCAAAAGCCCTGGGTCCCGGCGGCCCCTGGGCGCTGTCCAGCGGGCAGCGCGCCTGAGAGTCTGGGCTGGGGGGTCCCTGTCTCAGGACACCCCGAGGATGGGGCAGAAGGCCAAAGGCCGGGGACCTGCGTCCACGCGCGGGGGTGGGGGAGGTAGGAAGCCCCGACCCCAGGGACACCTGTTGTCGCCTTTCCCACTCAGGCCGGCGGCGGCGGCGGGGGCGAGCTGGGCCCCGGGAAAGGCGCCGGTGGACCTGAAGTGCGGCGCAGAGCTGCGGGGGGTGGCAGCGCGGGTGCGGGGGGCACAGGTGCGCTCACCCCCGCTCACCTGGGGCGTCCTCACCTCACGCCTCCCACGGCAGGGCGCGCGCGGCGGGCGCCAACCCCGCGCCTCCTGCTCTCCGGGGATGCGCGCCAGCAGCGCCGCGGCGCTAGGACCCCGCGGCCCGGCCCCCTCCCCGGTGCCCGCACTCCACCTGAGGGGCCCCTCGCCCTCGGCGTGCTCAGCCCCGCGCCGCCACCGGCGCGCTCCGTTACCTGCGGCGCACTCCGCCCGGTCCCGGAGCGTCGGGCGGCAGGTCCTCCCGGGCACCGCCGGCGGGTTCCGGCCCGGTAATCCCCACCCGCCGCGCTGCCCTCGCCGCGCTCCCTCACGGCCGCAGCGCCGCGGTCTGCTCCCGACTCCGGGCTCGCTCCGCGCCCGCCGGCTCCTAGCGCTGCTCCTGCCGTGCCTGATTGGCCGAGGCGCGCTCCCGAGACGCACTCTGATTGGACAGATGCGAGGCAGGGCGGGGAGGAGTCGGTGGGGGCGGGGCGATGGGCGGGGCGCCTCCCGGGTCTGGTTTTCTAGCCTCGCGCGCCCTGCCTCGAAAGCCCAAAGCAGAATCTGGTCAGCTTTACGCCGCCAAATGGATGGAGTCGTCCGGTCTGCACCGGCCAGACACTGCTCAAACACTGGTGGCAGGGAATGAGTTCCACCTTGGTAGTCAGGGACCTCCAAGGGGTGAGTGTCGTTACTCCCATGTCACACTTGCACTTCAGCCTTGTTACTTTTTTACTCTAAGAACTGCACATGGCTCAGGACAGAAGCTGGTAAACATCAGGCGCAAAATAATGTACCCTGAACTCTTCACACGCCCTGTGGTCCTGCCATCCCGCTGTACGGGGGAAGCGAACCTGTGTCCAAGGTCCACATCAACAGAGAAATGTAAGAAGCTTGTGCCACTGCCTGGCGCTGGTGGTGCACGCCTGTTATCCAAGCTACTCAAGAGGCTGAGATCTGAGGACTCCAAAGCCAACCTGGAAAAGAAAAGTCTGTGAGACTCTTATCTCCGGTTAACCAACAAAATCCTGGAAGAGGAGATTTGGGCTCAACTGGTTAGAGTGCTAGCCTTGAGCTGAAGGACAAAGCCAAATGATGCCCCGAGTTCTATCCCCAGTACCAGCACAAGACAAAGAGCCAGAGCCAGAGAGACACAGACACTGAGAAAGACAGAGGCAGACAGAGACAGGGAGAGATGGTCACCCGTGCTGAGAGACATAGGGAAAAGTGACACCAGTTCTGAGTATGGGAAGATTTTCATCTGGAAGATGCCACAGTGTCCACTCAGAACAGAGGGACACACACTAGAACAGAAGGGAAGTATCAGTGATTATAATTGTTCCATCTTCCATCTCTTCTCCCATAATTCTTTAGCCTTCTCCACATTTCCACCTACTCTCAGATCTCAGCCTCCTGAGTAGCTAGGATTATAGAGTCTATCTGAAAAATAAAAGCAAATGCTTCAAATCTGCTGCTACTAGACTTCTCTTCTGTCACCCTTAAAAACACCCTGATAGACAATAAGAAAAGTAAATAGCACTGCGTATATACGTATATGTATATATATATATATATATGTATATATATATATATATATGATTTTTCTACAGGTATTTTTCTCCTTCTACACTCCTATTCACCTTTGAGTGAAAAAGTTCCTATGAAACAAGTACTTAACCACCCACACCAAAAAAACAGCTTCACCTACACTGAATAGTCTTAGCTCCTACCCTATTATGAGTCAATCATGTACTTTGAGAGGCTTGAGTCCCTAGAAGGGAATTGGATCCATTTTTTCCAGTTTATATTCATGGACGAACAATACATTAAGGTTGTATTCCAAAGGTCAGCTGGGCATAGGGCATAAGCCAGGTAGAAACCATGTGAAGAAAGTTCGTTCAGAGTTTTGTTCAGTCCAAGCCTCAGAAGCACATGAACATGCTAACTCATCACTCTGCTTTCTCACTTTAGAAAAAGCAACAGCTATTTTTTTTTAATAAGTGAGCAACCAGAGTGATGAGTTAGCGTGGATTACTCAAGCATTCTCTCCAAGGAAGAGAGGCTTGTTTCAGCCAGAGAATGGAAATGACTCAAGATGATGTGTCAAACTGCTCCATCCTAGATGCAGCCCACTAAGCAGCCCAGGGACAACCAATAGAAAGATGGAAAGTGAGGGGAAGATGAAAGAAGATTCTAGATCCCACAACAAGCACCACAGAATCTTCTTGTAAACAAGAACCACATAGTTCTAGTCCTTGTGTCTAGAAATCTGCCTCCTACACCACGTGTCTTCTTTGGTGATTCTTACATAGCACTCAAGACCAAGCTAAAATGATCCTTCCTCTCTAGGGCCTTCTACTAATTCTCCCAAGCACAAAGTAATAGCATTCTAGTGATTTAGTTGCATGATTTTTTTCCCAATGACAGGACTATGCATTACTTGATAATGTAAACCCTCTACTAGACATAATGGTGCATGTCTATAATCCCAGCTCCTTGGGAAGTAAAGGCAAGGGGCAGAAGTATCAGTGTACTAGCCCAGCTAAAAGTGAAAATTCTGGGCTGGGAAGAGTGGCTCAGTGATGGAGTGTTTGCCTTGCATGCATGAGACCCTGGGTTCAATTCCTTAGCACCACATAAGAAGAAAAAGCCGGAAGTGGTGCTGTGGCTCAAGTGGTAGAGCACTAGCCTTGAGCTGAAAAGCTGAGGGACAACATCCAGGCTCAGAGTTCAGGCCCAACCACCAACAGAAAATAAAAATTAAAAAAAATTCAAATTTAGGCAACGGTGGCTCACATCTGTAATCCTAGCTACTTAGTAGGCTAAGATCTGAGGATCCAACTTCAAAGCCAGCCTAGGCAGGAAAGTCTGTGAAACTTTTAACTCTAATTAACCACCAGAAAAACCAGAAATGGTACTGTGGCTCAAAATGATAGAATGCTAGCTTTGAACAAAAGGGCTCAGGGATAATACTCAAGCCCCAAGTTCAAGCCCCATGACTGACAAAAAATGAAAAAGAAAAGAAAAGAAAAAGTTTTGAACTTAGATTTACCATTTAAGTCAGTAATTCCACACAACAAGAAAACTGCATGCCTATGTTCACACAAAGATGTTCACAGTGATGTTTATAGCACCACTATTGATTATAGTTGAAAAGCATAAAGACCCAAACATCCATCAATTGATGACAAATTTAAAAATATAAAATATAGTAAAGCCATCTGAATATTATTCAACCCCAGAAACAAAGAAACCAGTGAGGTATTGATGATGTAATCACATATCTAAGAATCCTGAAAATGTTATGCTAAGTACAAGAAACCAGACACACAAGGTTATGTACTGTATAGTTCCAATCCTATTCAATATCTAAAATGGGCAAATCTGTAGTTGGTTTTCAGGGAGTGGCAGGAGGAAATATGGGGGTGAGTGCTTAACAGAAATGAGATTTGTTTGGGTGTTGGCAGAGATGTTTGTTTGGGTGTTGGCGGAGATGTTTGTTTGGGTGTTGGTGGAGATGTTCTTAATTAGATAGTGGTTCTGGTTATATGTCAGTGGTTTTTTTTAAAAAACCACTGAATTAAAAAATGTATACTGTATATATACAGTAAATGTAGATCTATTAATGAGAGACAATTTAATTAAATGCCAAGCTGTAGTAGGTAAAAGTATCAAAGTGTGGAGAAGCTTTCTGTGCTATGGCTTCAATGGGTTCATTTATCTTTCTTAACTCCCCTCTTCACCAACCCAGTGGAGATTTACTCCTTAGGTCTGTGTTATCTAAAGTTGAATATTCCATGATACTAGACCTGTTCTTCATCTGAGCTGTTTAATATGACAGCTTCCAGGCACATATGTCTACTTATTTACAATTCATTTAGTTATAATTTATAAATAACAAATTTAATTCTAAAAAGAGCACAGAGATACATTCCACTTGTTTCTTTCCTTGTACTGTTTTTTTGGCAGTAACTGTCATGTTTTTAGGTTGGTTTTGGTTTGGTTTGGTTTTGTGCTGGTCTAGAGGCTTGAACACAGGGCCAGGGCATTGTCCCTGAGCCTTTTTGCTCAAGGCTAGTGCTCTACCACTTGAGCCACAGCTCTCCTTTCTACTTTTAGGTGACTAATTGAAGATAAGAGTCTCACAGGCTGGCTTTGAACCACTGTCCTCAGATCTTAGCCTCCTGAGTAGCTAAGATTACAGGCATGATCTACCAGCATCCATCTAAAATGTCATGTTGATCATTAAAACTCATAAGTATTTTTTCCTACTCCTATTCCTTGAGATCCCTCCCTCCCGCCCCCCCCCCCCGTGTCTCTCTCTCTCTCTTCCCTCACTTGTATATTTTCTGACATCTTCAATAGATGTCTTTTTGAAGAAAAAGTGAATGAAAGTAAGGGAGATGACTTTAAACACTGATAATTTATGAACACAAACCTGCATTTCATTGTACACCTGTCTTAAGGATAAAAGGATGGACAGAAAGCTGGAAAGGTGGCTCAGTGGTAGAGCGCTTGCCTTGCACGCATGAGGCCCTGGGTTCGATTCCTCAGCACCACATAAGCAGAAAAAAAAAGCCGGAAGTGGCGCTGTGGCTCAAGTGGTAGAGCGCTGGCCTTGAGCTGAAGAGCTGAGGGACAGCGCCCAGGCCCAGAGTTCAGGCCCCACGACTGGACCCAAAAAAAAAAAAGGATGGACAGAATAACTTGGAGAGATGGTGCCTCTCTTAGTAGTAAGAGGAAGAAAACAAAAGGAACAGCAAACAACCCTCTCTTCAGAAAGGGCTCTAGCCTGGGCTGGGAATGTGGCTTAATTGTAGAGTGCTTACCTAGCATGCATGAAGCCCGGGGTTTGATTCCTTAGTTCCATATAAACAGGAAAAGCCACAAGTGGAGCTGTGGCTCAAGTGCTAGAGCACTAGCCTTGAGCAAAAGAAGCTCAGGGACAGCGCCTGGGTTCTGAGTTCAAAGCCAGGACTGGCAAAGAAAAAAGGGGGAGGGGGGGCTCTATCCCTGAAGGTCATGCCCTCCTCCTGGGCTGTGGAAAGGCAAATGACAGAATGGCTGGAGTTGGGTGTAACATCAGGACAAACCTCGGTATGAATCACAATTCAGTCACTCTGCAGCTATTTACCACAGACCCAGACATCTCTGAGCCTGTTTCTCACCTATAAAAGAGAGGTTCACACTAGACTGGATGGGTGATTTTGATAGTGAAATTAGGTGCAATGTCTGACACTTAGAACAAATAAAGAGGACTTTTTTTTAAAGTACCTTCGTTAGAAGCAGTCGTGCTACCGTTGAAGACATATCACTTAATGTTGCCTCAT